CAAAGAAGAGAATTATAGGATAGTATGGTAGTGAAAAGGGTTAACAGGGAGAGGAAATGAAGTAAAGCAGAGATTAGTAAAGAGGAAAGGGTTAAGGTCAAAGAAAGACTGGATAAAATTGAGTGTATCTGACTGTGGAAGAAATAGTAAAACTGACAAAAGAGTCATGTGAAACAATCAGTGGGTAATATGAGTAGAAATAGCTGTTGGAGAAGCACAAGAAGAATCTGGGCAAATGAAATAAGGCGACTGGGGAAAGTGGTGAAGTATCAGGAAGAATCTCAGGATGGGAGGGATCCAGAGAAGGACACTGTTGCAATAGAAGAGATTCACGTGAGAAGTGATAAGGCTAATGGAGAATGAAGACAGAATGGTGTACATGGAGAGGGAGAGGATGGGGTGTATTTGGAGAGAATGGGAGGAACAAGGGTGGAGGGAACATGAGGAGGAGGAGGATCGATATCAACAAATATAAATGCATCGAATGAGGAAGGAAGTTGGGGTGGTGTGGAATGAGGTAGTACTGTGGGTAGGAGGATAACCAGGATGAAGAGTAGTAATGAGGGGGGAGGGGGTTGACAATGAAGACTGTACAGTAGGAGATGGAGTTTTAGTATCAGTGGTCGGAGCTGTAGTCAAAGAAGAGGCAAGGATTGGGATACCAGTGAAATCAAATTTAGACAGGCTAGTTGATGAAGGGATAAGCCTTTCATCCTTTCTGCACAGCTCTTACACCATAGGAAGTGAACAGAAGAAGGGGATGAAGAAGAAAAAGAAAAGGAAAGGGGGGAAAGATCATGAAAAATTAGCTGAGATGAAGACTGGGCCCAAGGTAGGAGTGATCTTCCACACTGGGCCCCTGTCTCTGTCTCCCATGACAACAATGAGCAAAGGATTAGGCGGGGGACTGAAGATTTATCTTTTGACAGCCATGTCCTATAAATTCCTATCAATCTTACGACTTCTTCCTTTCTTTTTTGCTATTCTGAAAATATATTATGTAATACACAGGATAAACTCACTGTGGCATTATGGCTAATATTATTTGCAATTCTAATACATAATTTACCCTTTATTTCATTTTTGTCCTGAAATTCTCTAAATCAAATGTTTACAGTTATCTTGATTTCTATATTGCTGCTCCTTAATGATTCATTTGAGAAAAATTATATACTAGACTGCATGATTTCTTTACTTAGTTTAATGATTTATCTTTAGTGTGTGTTCCAGTGAATTCTATGGAATATTTCACTAAATTTGATGAGTTAAAGGAACATCACTATTTAATTTTTTTTATTCATATACAAAAAGAAAGAAATCAGACTTATTTCATAAATGAGAGAAAGAAAAAGTTCATGTTAATCCTGATACATCCACAGACATTTCTGAGTGTGACTTGTTAATTTCCTCTTTGAACTTGCCAATTGTGTCTTTGGCAAGTTTGATCTTCTCTCGCAAGTCCATGATTTCATTTGCTATTTTCTCTTTGGCATTTAATAAGTTTTTTATTGTCTTCTCCTTCTTGTCTTCAACTGAAAGTATAAAAACACATAATTAATTCAGAATACAATTTAACCCTTTTGAACAAAATTATCCTTTTCTTTTTTCTGGAATAACTGTTCATAGATAATATTCTCTAATCAAAGCTACCAGTTAGTGATATTTCAGAAAATATATTCAAACTATTAATCTAAGTAAAACAAAGAATGTAACATCAAAAGTCCAATAAGTATAATCCTTAATCAAAACTCACAGTCAGTATCGTGGGTGTACTCTCCAAGAGTCAGTTGTCGGGTGTTGGTTAGCAGCTGTCTCATCATGGCAGAGGGGTCCTGGAAGATGAGCTCCTCGTAAAATTCAGACACAAGTGGCTTCTTGAAATCGCTGGACACGACAGGTGGTGTAGTGCCAGGAGGAGATTGGAACAGCTTCAGAATGTGGTATATGGTTACCTGAAAGGCAAAGTTCATTTATACTTAGCACTTTTGACCAAGGTACAAAGGTTTAAGTTGTAGAGCTATTCTTTCCATTTTGTCAGTTTTGTTACTTTATCATTTTAATATTATATGCTATTCTTAGAAGATTGAAGATTTGACTTCCATTTGATCTGGAACATTACTTCTTAACTGTTCATCCTAACAGTAGGGAATGAATATACACAATTTAAACATCTTTGTCTGATAGAGTGAAATGAAAGTGTTAAAGGGAATAGCAATAACATCTAAATCTTATCAAGAATAAATAAACATCTAACAATTAGAATGACATCAGAATTAATGATCATAAAAAATAAAGAGAAAAAAATCACTGACTGGTCTTTCATTTGGATCATGAAAAAAGATTTTGATGACAATCTCAAACTCTCCCCATCCTGTCTCTGTGACTTCGTAGGGCGGCTTTGTCAACACACAGTTCTGGTTGGCATACGTCTCGTGTAGCTTAAAATGGACCTGTTGGAAGATTCATAGTACTTTTTATGTGATATTTATTATATATTACGCTTTTTTATATAAAACAAAGATCTGCAATAAGCATAATTTAAAAAATATATAATCTATATTCTCTATTACCTTTTTCACATATGTAGACATGTCCTCATTGTTATACGGTTTGACATAAACTGTCCATTCATGAGTGTGCCCATCTTCCTCTCTCTTTTTGCCAAAAAAACGAGCAACATTGCCATATACTATAGGCTTCACAATTGTTAGACCCTGTAATTAATACAAAACAATTAGACTGTATCCAATGATACTGGCAGTATCCAGGAAATAATCTGTCCTCCCTTTACCAAGCTTTTATCTTTCTTTAGCATACTGGTGAAAGGACAAGGAAGTTTAAATAATTCAATAAATATTAATTATATGAATTTTCAGTTTACTTCAGTTCATTAACATATTTCATCCAGAAGGGTATTTTATCCATATGAGAAACAGTATTTACTCTCATGTATTTTTTATGAAATGATACAATAAGAAATTCAGACAGAAAATATAAGTCATCTATGGATTTAAGAAACACATCATACCTTAATTCTTCCCCCACTGTCAGGACCAAAGTCAGTTGTTGGTTGCACTTTTTGCTGCTGCTGCTGCTGCTGCTGTTGCTGCTGCTGAATCTGAGCTTGTGCCATGCTGATGAGATTATAAAAAATTGAGAATAAAAGAATATTCAGTAAATGGGCTATCTGTAATAATTTGAGGGAAACAATTATTTCACAATCAACAACAATCAAGTCCTTGGTCTTTTTGTATTTTCATAAATTACCAAGGAAATGCAAACTGTTAAAAGTATCAGGTCAGTTTGTAACTTTGGAAAATTTGCAGCAAATACAGTTTTTCCAAATATTTTTCACATAATCATATAAAATAAAAATCACATAAAATATGATGCAATTAAGCATCCTTCTGGTTGCCGTCCATACACCAGCATTTCTTGGTTGCTATCACTGAATACACAGTTGAGCATCTGCAATTTCAGGAAAATGCAGAATGCTCTTTGAGATAACTCTACTAACTTTTAGAAATTAATTGGGAAAAAGTGTGAAATATTACTTTACTCTTTGTAGTGGATTGCTATTTTGTTAAAATTTGTCCAAAACCATCAATATGTGAATACCAAAGATTAATCCTGAGGAAAATGCATTAGAATATAACACATAAGACTGATTTGATAAAAGTAACTAGACTATCTGTCTTATTTACAACATGGTCCAACTGTAAAATGGATAAGAATGAGAAGTTGAAATCCAAAACATTAGTTGAATAAAAAACAAAGAAAAAAAACCTGCACAGGAGGAACAACATAAACATGATGAAAATAAAAATAAATTCAATCACAATCATAATAAGGCTAGCTTTAATAGTAATTTAGCTAATTACTTGCTGTGATATGTAAAAGTTTAACCCTAGACTCTCCTATAGTTTTTCCTTGTGTGATTCTAACTTTTTCAAAGAAATAAACAACCTGTTCTGTAAAGGAGAACATTTATAACTGTTAATCAAGGAAATGCTGGTTGAAATATGTGGAAATATACTGTTCAAAAAATGCTATATATACTTATGAGAAAACATTTGGAAACTATAATGTCTAACAAAACAAAGTGTAATATTTAATTTGAAAAGTATACTATAACAAGTGTTTTATAACATTCTGGAGAAGGATATCAGGACCAACGATAATGTACATGACCTTGTTATCACTATTCAGGGTTACAGAAATTCTTGAACATAAGACCATACTCTCCTGAGAAGTCCCACTATTGCCATGACCCCAATGCCTTTAGTACTCCAGCAAATGCCAACAAACTTCAAGAAATGAAATTCATATAAAAGAAATCCACTTGCACCCTAATTGTTTTCCCTATTCCCTGCAAGTGACTGCATACATGTGATGTGTGCTAACTTAGTGCTCTTTGGATGAAAATTGAGATTGAGAACTATAAGTAACTATTGTTGTTCTGGATGCAAAAGTATGAAAAAACAAAAAATATTATCACATTTTCCATACATAAAATGATATTTTCTTATAGGAAATTGCCTGTCTGAAAAGTTTTACAGTTAAACAGGGAGTCTTTACCATCAGTTTCAACAATTAAATTAGCAACAATGTATAAACTAGTACTTGCATTTTTGTTACTTGAGACTTGCACAGGGAAATGACTGTGGGTAAAATGTTCAGAATACCTACACAAGCCTGATCATGATGATAATGGTACCAATGGATTCCTCTCACCCTCTACTACCCTTTGAATGCCCTTCCCATTACCCCACAAAACTGGCCCTATTAGTAGCAGAGGGTGTGGAGGGAAACTGCTGTGTAAAATATAAAATAACATACTTACACCTGCGAGGGTTACCTACTCCTACCCCTGCCCTATAATACCAAACATCCTCCACATACTTACAACAGGATGAAGCTTATGACATACCTAGACATATCTAGAGTAATGTTGAAAGGATAAAGATGGGTAAGGGGTTGATGAGTGAAAGGGTTATGGTGGTTTAGGTAAGGGAATTAGATCAAATGAAGGATATTTATGCATCTGAGGAAGGAGAACAGGTTGTCAAGGCAGAAGCTGTTGGATTCTGTAAGGATGCCTGATATGTTGGGAGGTTGGTAAAGTGAGGATAGGTGTGGAAAAGCAGAGGTATGTGCTGGATTAAAGCGTGGACAGGACCAGAGAATGTGTGGAACTGAAAGAAGGACATTACAAAGAGGACATAAGGGCGGGTCAGAGTGTGACATTAGATAGGCGTGTGTTAAGTGGGTGTGGCCAATACGTAAGCATGCGAGGGCTGTCTCCCAACGTCTGTTCCTGCGAAATGGATCTGACCATGAGGAGATTGATGGTTTTACAGTGTGTAATTTATTATTGTGGAGGTTTGATCAAAAAGATTGCCATCGGGTATATGAGAAGGTTTTAAAGTGGGAGTAATAATCCATAGCTGGAATATATGAGAAGCGTGGTTGAGGTGATGTGGATATTGCGGCATAGCGTGCAAGAGTATCTGCCTGTTCATTGCCAAGGATTTTGACATGGCTGGGTACCCAGCAAAATCTGACAGATTTATGACATGTGGACAGATGGTTAATGGTTTAGTGGTTAAAAGCGAAATAAATGTGCTAGACATCTAAGGTCATATAGCACTATAGGAAGGTATAGTAAAGGGGGATGTCAGGTGATAGTTGCTATGTATCAACTATCTAGAGTAATATTGAAAGGTTGAAGTTGGGTAAGGGTTGATGAGGGAAAGGGTTATGGTGGTTTAGGTAAGGGAGTTAGATCAAGTGAAGTATATTTATGCGTCTGAGGAAGGAGAATAAGTTGTCAAGGCAAAAGCTGTGGGATTCTGTAAGGATGTCTGATATGTTGGGAGGTTGGTGAAGGGAGGATAGGTGTGAAAAAGCAGAGGTACATGTTGTATTAAAGCGTGGACAGGACAAGAAAATGTGTGGAACTGAAAGAGGGACATTACATAGAGGACATAGGGGCGGGTCAGAGCGTGACATTAGATAGGAGTGTGTTAGGCGAGTATGGCCAATACATAAGCGTGTGAGGGCCATCTCCCAACGTCTGTTCCTGTGAAATGGAGCTGACTTAGAGATTGATGGTTTTACAGTAAGTAATTTATTATTGTGGAGGCTTAACCAGAAAGATTGCCATTGGGTATACAAGAAGGTTTTAAAGTGGGGGTAATAATCCGTAGCTGGAATATATGAGAAGCGTGGTTGAGGTGATGTGGAAATTGCGGCATAGTGTGCAAGAGTATCTGCCTGTTCATTGCCAGGGATTTCGACATGGCTGGGTACCCAGCAAACTCTGACAGATTTATGATGTGTGGATAGATAAAACAACCAGTTCTGGATCTTAGAGACAAGGGGATTGGTCGAGTGCATAGACTTTATGAGGGTTAAAGAGTTACGGGAGTCAAGAAAAATAGTGAAAGAGGAAGAGGGGAATGAGTATATGCGTCTTAAAGCAAAAAGGAGTGCATACAGTTCTGTAGTAAAGACACTAGATTCAGGAGGGAGAGTGTATTTGAAAGTACAATTTGGGAATGTTACTGCAAATCCAGCTCCTGAGGTGGATTTGGAACTGTCAGTGTAAACATGAATGCTGGAGGAATGAATGGAGACATGGTCAAGGAAATGAGTGAGAAGGATAGAGGGGGGAATATCTGATTTTGGTGGGTCAGGGAAAACTGAGGAGCAAATACAGGGTTTAGGTATAAGCCATGGAGGAATGGAATGGATAGAAAGTGGGAGAGGTCGGAGGTGAGGAAAGGGGGAATGGGAGGGGAGGGTATCCATGTGTATGGGGAAAGGAGTAGGTAAACATGGAGAAGAGGTAAAGGTGGGAAGCAAGGATTGTGGAATAGTTAGTTTGGTAAGGGTGAAATCAAGCATAGCATCCTAGAGAAAGAAGGGCTTGACGTCGAGAGAGGGATGGCATGCCAGACTCAGTATACAGGCTCTCAACTGGAGAAGAGCGGAAGGCGCCTAGGGCTAAGCGGAGACCACTGTGGTGGATTGTATCAAGGTTTGCAAGAAGGGAGGTTGAGACAGAGGAGTAGATATGTCATCCATAATCAAGAGTGGAGAGGATCAAGGTATCATGAAGATGGAGGAGAGTTTTGCTATCTGAGCCCCAGCAGCATTGAGCTTTTTCTTTAATACACAAGATATGGTCTCGCCAGGACAATTTGGAGTCAAATACAACACCTAGGAATTTGCCAGAAGAACGGTATTGGAGTGGAGCGTTATATAAAAAGAGTGGAGGTTTGGGACCTATACGTGAGTGAGAGAAAAGGATGGGGAAAGATTTGGAGGTAGAGAAGTGAAAGCCATGGTTAGTGGCCCAAGAAGTTACTGATGTTATTGCAGACTGAAGGAATTGACAAAGATCTGGTATGGATGTGCCAGATGCGTAGATGGTTAAGTCATCAACATATAGTGATGCCCAAGCTCCTGGTGGTAGGACTGAGACAATGTCATTTACAGCAAGAAGGAATATAGTGGTAAGAAGTACACTTCCTTGTGGGATGCCTTTGAACTGAGGAAAGGATGATGACGTGGAAGAGGCAATTTTGACCTGGAAAGTATGTTTAGAAAGGAAAGATTTTATGAAGACACCCATGTTTCCACGTAAAACTAGGGAGGACAATGATCGGAGGATATGGTATTGCCATGTGGTATCAATGCTTTTTCTAGATAAAAAAATATGGCTAATACAGATTCATGGCATGCAAATGCAGATGTAATATATGCCTCGAAATGGGCAAGTGGGTCTGTTGTATTTCGGGCACGGCAGAAACCAAACTGGTAAGGAGAAAGGAGATTACGAAATTCAAGATACCACATTAAGCGGAAGTTAACCATTCGTTCTAGTAGCTTGCACAAGCAGCTAGTTAGAGCAATGGGGCAGTAATCTTGGGGTAGGGTACCTGATTTATTGGGTTTTAAGAAAGGTAGGATAAGAGCTTCTCGCCAATGAGAAGGAAAATTTCCTGACGTCCATATGTGGTTGAAAATAGTTAAAAGGAAGTATAGAGAGGTAGATGGGAGGTGTCGGGAGTATGGCAATGGATTGGTATCTGC